GCTTCTCCGCCACCAGTCGTCGCGACTCGTTGTTCCAAATGTATTCAGGCGTGCTTTGATGAAAGGCAAATGATATGCGCCAGGCTATTCTTCTGTCCGTCGAAGTGGGCTTCCCAAGCCGAAGTAGCCGCTCGAAGCGAGAATAACTAACTTCGTGCGCTGGTTTGTGAAAAGTTACTGATTGGGGGGGGGGGGGGGGAGCGACATCGATTTTTCGGCTATTCTACGCCATGCACTTTGCACACTTGAAAAGCTCGAAAGGTGTCAACTCACATTAGCTCCTTTTTATCTTGTCCCACTACACCACACAGCCTTTTTTTACGAGACAAAGCTCAAGCATTGTTTCTTGTCTTCCAGCACCGTATTCTTGAGCTAAATGTTGGGTAAAGAAAAATATAGCCGTGGAAAATGATTAGACTTCAGAATGCGCCATGCATTAGACTTTTTTGTGGGATTATTGAGGTTGTTGGATGTCATTTAAGCAGATGTGGCAACTTTTAATCCTTGTATTTTTATGATTATAGTTTCATATGTAAATCAGATTCGATCAAACCACTCAACCCACTAGAGTCAAGAAGATTAGCGAATCGAGGAAATGCCACAAGTTTTCTCTGAGAATCTGACAGCCAGATTTCTCGATCTAAGCCCATGAAAATAACCACTCCGGAAAGTTTTTATGCTAGTCGATACCTAATAGGTGGAAAAAAGTTGTTTTTTTTGACAATTTTTCTATTAGCTCCAGGTTTCAGAAGGTCCCGTAGCTTACAGGAGCTCTGGACCTTTGAGGAATACGGTAGGGCCAAGCTGTTGTGATCCATATTTTTATAAAGATATCTTCATGCAGGGCTCAAGGATTTAGCTGTATTTCTGACTTCATGATCTTGATCATGTAGAATTTTTATGAAGTTGTTGATGCCTTGAACCTGCTTCTCCTTCCAACATACCCGGCGTTATTTACCCTTTACTGCCCCACTCCTCGAGAACTGAGCCGGATTTTTATCGAAATTGGTCATGACTGTGATTTGGCCAGAAACTTGCCTTCGGGGTAATTCGACCCGTAGAACACGAATATCACATTTGTTTACGCTAAAACGCCTGGCGCCCGCGCCACAAGTGCCGGCGCCAAAAGGCGCCAGAACATCTCGGATCACCCAAATTCGCTGGAAAGCTTGTCCGTCAGAGGGTAGCTCGACTCTTGGATCA